AAAGCAAGGGTCAGGGTTTAGTTGTGCCAGGAAAACAAAGTGCCTGGAATGGGATTGTCTTCCATAACATAGAAATAGAGAGGGCTGATTGGAGGGATAGCTATACTGCAGAGTGATCACTGAAGGCAGCCACACCAGCAGGAAAGTGGCTAGCTGAGGCTCAATATTGCTGGCCAGCAGACTGGGTAACTGGCCTCCTGCCCCAAACAGTGTGTGGGGGGATTCCCCCCACCCACTGCCACAGCCCTTCTATGATCAGCCGCTAGGGTCGGACAGCCCAACCCACCTCTCACAGGAGATGCCAGGCCAAAGAATCACGTCCCAGCCTCCGACCAGCAAGAGGTCGGGGGGCAGCTGCAGGCCAAGACCAGTCCCACCTCCAAGGCCCTGCCTCAGCCTCTGGTCGGGGGGAGGGAGCCAATGCTCCCCAGAAGAGCCCCAGCCCACCCAACTCCCCAGACCAGCAGGAGGCGGGGCACACAGCTGGAGGCCAGGATTGACCTGCGAAACCCAGTCTCTCATCTTGAGCAGCAGAAAGCTGGAGGGTGCCACACAGGCTGGCTCCAGCCCCTGAAGCCTGGTCTCTCCCCGCCAAATCAGCAGGAGGCAGGGGGTGGGGTAGCTGCAGGCTGGGACCAACTCTGGAGCCCTGCCCTCCCAACAAACTGGAGATGGGGGAGGGAGCAAGATGGGGGGGCATTGTAGTTGAGGGCTGGTCCATGGAACTCAGTCTCCCCCTCGATCAGTTGGAGGCTGGGGCCAGTCCCCCACCAGACAGGCTGGGGGAGGAGGGGTGGAATACAAGAGACTGGGGCCAGTCCATGGAGCCCAGTCCCCCATCCTGGCCAGCAGGAGGTTAGGGGGAGTGGGGCAGGTGGAGACTGGGGCAAGCTTGCAGAGCCTCAGACCCTCCCTGGATTGGATGTAGTACAGTGGAGATTTTATTGCACATTTTTCATGTCAAAAGAATTTCCCCACAGGAAAGAAAATAATCTGATTAAGGTCTAGCTATACCATTCATTAATTTGTACAGCTTCATTTATTACTTGTTATTTACTGTTTTACTGCTGTCATGTTGTATTATAGCATTGTTAAGCAGTAACACACAAGTTCACATGGGCATGCTGATTAATGACATGTGTTGCATTCAGGATGATGTATGAGGCAATTATGTCAACCACCTATTATTATGCTACATACTTAAATGACCAGAAGTTAATTTATTATAATATTATTCTAAAATTTTAAACAAAATGAGCACTAATGTTTAGTAAACTTATGGTTTCATTTCCTATTGAGGAACAATCCATGTCACACAAAGCATCAGCATCACTGATGTTTTTACTAGTAATCAATGACTGAGTAAGTTAGTAAGTCCAGACTATCAACTGAACCTCCAAAACCTGGTTGAAGCACTTTGGTGGGAAATGTAGAAAATCACCAATACTACATCTATTCTCTACATTATATACAGAAAATCCATCTGTAGGAAAAAAATAGTACTGTAATGTCAATATATGTACACAAGGGCACTGAATTAAGGTTGCCTGGCCAACTGTAAATTGGGTATTCCAAAACATTTAAGTCTTTGAGTTTATAACCTAAATAATGTTCTTTTAATGTAGATTTCAGTATGGCATTTCCACGGAAAAGGCCTCTCAACCTCATTCCCATCAATGAATTTCACAGGCATGTGACAACTAATGGAGAAACTATAGTGTCTCAAAAAGGTAAAAAAAAAAAAATCTTTTAATGCACTACCGAGTCCCTATAATTCTTCTTTTTTTTAAAGCTATATACCTGAACAAAATTAAATTATTTCCAGTGTCCAATTTGAAATGTTCCAGCACTGAGAACAGTAACATTAAGATTTATGATGAAGCATTTAATAGATTTGTTATGGACTTTCATGTAAACGTCTTGACTTCAGCCACCTCTGCTAAGAGTGTTGAGTCATGAATAATTTTGGGCGAACATTAAAACAACATAAGCGATTATAATATTTACAGTTAAAGAGATCTAAAGATTAAATAAATTACTGATTTTAAACAAAAGCTTGTTATCCTTACGGTCTCAATTCCTGAGTTACCTGTACTCTGACTCTTGTAGTTTCCTTCTAGCCATCTGAGTTAGGGGGCAGAGGAAGGCCTGACACTTTTCTCAGGGTGGAATCCTATGTGGTCTGGAGGGAGAAAATCAACCTCAGGTCGCAGACTCCTGCAATCTTTATATTTAACTCAGATGGTGGGATCTCAGTTCAGTCCTATTGAACTCATTCTCTCCAGGAAAAAAGCAGGGTTTGCCAGTGACCAGGCAACTTTCATAAAATAAAGTATTATTTATTCAAACAAAATCATTCCAGTAAATATATCTTAAGAAAAATAAACAGTTTATACACAGCCTATGTTACAAAATGGTCACTCATCTACCACTTGGAGACTAGGGATGTAAAACCCTGTTTATTAGTTAACTGGTTAAACGTTAACCAGTTACACATTGACATCCATACTGGAGACCATAGCAAATACTAAATATTTCAGATCCTCTCTCAGTATCTGTTGCACTGAGTTTTCTGTATTTCAGTTTTCAGATGTCGTCCATGACCCTCTTTCCAGAAGAAAGCTGTTATTTTCGAGCCCTTTGTCTGCCAAAACCTTTGTACCAAGTGTCAAACCCATATGTATGCTACATCCCAAGGGGGCAAAACTTCAAAGAGACTTGTTACCTACATTTTTTTATGTATTGGGGATTAGTTCCTGCAGGAAGTATCTGTTATCTGACCTATTCGGCAGAAATGCAATCACTAACAAGCCCACAGATACACATATAACATTAATACAATAGTCTTTGCATATTTAGTCCATGATAACCATCCATCACACTTGCCTATAGCCTACTCATCCACATCTCCCACTTCAGTGAGAATAGTCAGAGAGAGGTAGCCGTGTTAGTCTGATCTTGGTAAAACAAAAAAGCAGTCATCTAGCAATTTACAAACTAACAAAATAGTTTATTAGGTGACGAGCTTTCGTGGGGCAGACCCACTTCAGTGAGAATGTTGCTCTCACATCAATTCAATTAAAAAAGTAAGTGAAAACAGTTTAAAGATTTGGGTCAGTAACACTTAAAGGAACAAAATAATCCCTGATCTATTCCATTCACTTCGCTGGCATTACTGCATGAATAACGCTTTAGAGGGTAGCCTAGTTAGTATGTACAGGATAAACTTAAACAACAAATGGTCTGGTAACTCTTTATAGACTAACGAAACATGTAGACGGTATCATGAGCTTTCGTGGGCACAGCCCATTTCTTCGGATGACCAGTCTTCTGAACTCCAGTCATCTGAAGAAGTGGGTTGTGCCCACGAAAGCTCATGATACCAGCTACATGTTTCATTAGTCTATAAAACGCTACCAGACCATTTGTTGTTGTTTAAGTTTATGCATGTATAAAGTTGGTCCGGTGGGTAAAAATGTTGAGCTTAAAATGTTCTTAAGTGGATTATTCCTAATCAAACTTTACTTTTGGCATGGCTCCTAGTTGATGCTGTGCTGTCGCTCTTGACATAGAATATTAATGAGATTATGATAATCGTGGGAGAAGTGCAACTGACAGTTGACAAAACAGAGAAACTGACTCTACCCAAATATTGTCAACACATAAAAAACAGAAATGGGAAAAAGTTTACTGAGATTTGTTTATAATCTTCATTATCCGAAGTAATTTTCAGATGGAAATATATGTTTAAAATATTCAATGAACATAAAGAAAACAGCACCCAATAAAGAAGATATTTTTATTTAATGAGTTATTAAATGATACCAGATTATGGGTAAGGGTGCTGGAACAATTTTCAGAGTGAAGGGTGCTGAGAACCACTGAACCAAAATGTAAACCCTGTATGTAATGGAAACAACTTTAAGCCAGAGGTTTTGCAGCACCCTCAATACACTATGTTCCAGCACCTCTGATTACAGACTAGATTTTTTTTTTTTAGTTTTAGGAACCTAAAACAGCAGCAGGATGCCTAGAGCAGTGGCTCTCAATCATGGGTATGTGTACCTGGGGGTATACAGAGGTTTTCCAAGGGTTTGTCAGTTCATCTAGAAGTTTGCCTAGTTTAACAACAGATTACATAAAACACACTGGTGACGTAAGTACAAGCTAAAATTTCATACAGACAATGACTTCTTTATATAGCTCTACATACATTACACTACAATATTTATATGTCAATTGATTTATTTTAAAATTGTGTGATAAAAATGACAAAGTAAGCCATTTTTCAGTAATAGTGTGCTATGTCACTTTTGTATTTCATATCTGATTTTGTAAGTAGGTATTTTTAAGTGAGATGAATCTTGTGCTATGGAAGACAAATCAGATTCCTGAACAGGCTACAATAGTCTGGAAAGTTTGAAAACCATTGGTCTACTAGGATTTTCAGACACCTAAGCAACTAATTTCCATTGATTTCATAGAAGTTTGGCACCTGGGCATTTTTGAAAATCTAGGTTTCTATCTGCTGCTTTAGGTACAAAATTACCTTTAAAAATCTGGCCCTCTATTCTTGGTTATAAGGTAAAAATATGATTAATAGTTTGTATTGTTTCATCTACATCACATTTTAACTGACATATACAAGAAAATAAGACATTGATGCACATCTTCAGTCCACATATCTGTTTGTACACAAGGCTCATAAAGCATATTTTCTAGTCTGGAGATCATAAAAAAACCTCAAATTGTTTTATGTAAAAATAACAATCCTTAACAAATGTTTCTACAATATGTTATAAGTACTCAAAATTATGACAAAGTTTGTGTATTCAATAGTTATATAGCTGTATTTTTTGCATTTCAGAACAGTATTCTATTTAATGCAAAAGAATAACGGAGATGGCATTGTTTGCAGCAAGATTTTGATAGGGCTATTACAGTCTAGATAATGCAAATGCTGCACTTACTCTATTATAAGATTCAGACATATTTCTTACCCATTCGTAAGACACAATCCAGCAACCCCGGGCAATTCCCAGTATTACATTCAAGGTGCGGCGAGGACTCCCTGTAACCACATGAGTAGTCGTTTCACATACATCATCCGAAAACAAGAAGCCTCCCAGTTTATTCACCACCTGAATCATTGCACACTGTTTCCTGCCAATGCATGGGGGAGAATGGAGGAGAGAATCCACAAATCAGAAGAACTCTATATTAAAGGTTTACTTTATATAGAATATTAGGATATATGCATAAATGTAAAATTTCAGGCAAAACTTTTCTTAACAGATTTCATTGGGAAAGTAAGTTGTTAAGCATCCCTCAACATCAGGCCACATTTAGCCTAAATACCAGAGTCTCAAACTCAAATGCCCAGTTTTAAAGTTTTGCCCCTACTATCCAGACATCTTGATACCATCATAAACATTACTGTATGTTGATTCAATCACAAGAGCACGAACCTCACTAGTTCTATAAGTTAATGCCACCAGATATAATTTCCATGTAAAATAATCTGTAATTAGAGTTTGAAGTGTATTATCTATGAATATGCACACTGAAGTACACAAATATCTTGTGACCATCGAGATCCTGATATCCCTTAAGGAAAGTTGATATACGAGAACAATTTACGGCTGCTGTACTGTATCAAAAAGCTTGATTCCAATGTCTTTTCTGTCCACACACCTGACTTCTGGAGCTTTAGAAGAAACTCAGAAATACATCTACTCAAGATCAAAAATAAGTAAGAAAGATTAAAACAGATGTACAAATCTGAGGCAAATCAGGCAGAGCTCATAAGTCAATCAATACCATCTTGCAAGTACATTCAGGACGCTTCCTGTAGCTTGTGCATTTTTTCACTTTAATCACATTTCTCTCTGTAGTAAGTAACTCTATAAAAAAAGCTCCCAATAAATGGTTAAAACAGAAAGTGATCAGAACTCTAAGAATATCCAAAAATGATTCTTCCTAGTGACAACAGCACCTTTTAAAATGAGATTTAAATAAAACAAACAGCTTAGAAAACTGACTTTCCACTAAAGGCGAGGCCAAATGCAGGACTCTTTTTTAACTTATTTAAAAGCATGAATATAGACTTCAAAGCCTAACTTTAGGCCTTCATTTGTGATCACCATACCCTTAGTATGATGTTTATATTTCCTTTATTCTATTTTAGTGACAGAAATTGTGTGAGATGGTCATGGCAACTTTACAACAAGGATGCTGACTCTACCTGGACTATATCCGCAGAGGATAGGTTTTACATATTCTGCTCAAAGTGTATCTTAGCTTTTTTTGGTGTCTACATGAGATGTATTGTGGAATGAGAAGTCCTAAAATACTAATCTGAAATAGCTCTAAGATCACGATTTACAACAAACTCACCAATTTATATTTCAATAAACTACAAACCTACTAGATACAGATTTATGGATTTGCAATTCCATGAAGCATAACATGGCTATGAGCCAGTAAAGTCAGGCTATGCTCTTATAAGAGGAAAACAATGTCACAGCACCTACTCTGACACGACTACCGTATTTTCCGGCGTATAAGACGATTTTTATACTAAAAAACATCCCCCCAAAATCGGGGGTCATCTTATACGCCGGGTATAAACATACTGTAGCTTCGGCTACATACAGAACTTCCCTATTATTACCTTTTAGGCCGCTGGATGTGCCCGAATACAGTACTGTAGCTTTGGCTACATACAGAACGTCCCTGTGCTGATACTGTATGTACCGCGCTGAGCCAATCACGGCAAGCGGTGTCATCTATTAATGCATACAAAGCCTGCTCGGATTGGCTGAGTCAGAGAGGCGGGCTATTACAACCTTTGCCAATCCGAGCAGGCTTTGTATGCATTAATAGATGACACCGCTTGCCGTGATTGGCTCAGCGCGGTACATACAGTATCAGCACAGGGACGTTCTGTATGTAGCCGAAGCTACAGTAAAGCTGAAAGTTGTAAAGTTTGCCAAGGAACATAATAACTGTGCTGCTGCAAGGCAATATGGAGTAACAGAAAAGATGGTCCGAGACTGGAAAGCAAATGAAGATGCATTAAAGAGTATGCCAAGTAGTAAGTGTGCATTAAGAAGAAGCACCCCACATTGGTCAGAACTTGAAAAGCACGTAGCAGACATGGTGCATGAGCATCGTCAAAATGGTTATGTAGTGACACGAAACAAAATACGTATGTTTGCACTTCAGTGGGGCAAATCTAACCCAGATCACAGCAAAGGATTTAAGGCCACTGTATCCTGGTGTACTAGGTTCATGGAAAGGCATAATCTGGTACTGAGGCAAAAGACCAAAATTGCACAAAAATTACCTGCAGATCTCGACGGCAAAGTAAGTCTTTTCCATCGATATGTATTACAACAGCGCAAGAAACATGGCTATGCGTTAAGTCAGATCGGAAATATGGATGAAACTCCTATGAATTTTGATATGGTTGGAAATAAAACTGTTAATCCAAAAGGTGCAAAAACAGTGTTAATTAAAACAACAGGACATGAGAAGTCCAGTTTTACAGTGGTACTAGCATGTACAGCTGATGGCGCCAAACTAAGACCAATGATTATTTTTAAAAGAAAAACAATGCCGAAAATCAAGTTCCCTGTTGGAGTTTATGTACATGTGAATGAAAGGCTGGCTGGATGAAGAAGGGGTAAAGCTATGGCTTGATAATGTATGGAGTAGGCGACCAGGTGGACTTCGTCAAGAACGTAGCCTACTGGTGTGGGATATGTTCAGGGCTCATTTAACTACCAGCACAAAGAAAAGGCTGGCAAGAATAAACACAGATGCGGCAGTTATTCCTGCAGGATTGACATCATTGGTACAGCCACTGGATGTGTGCCTAAACAAGTCATTTAAAGATCGCATTCAAGAACAGTGGAATGAGTGGATGGTTAGCGGCGAAAAGTCATTCACAAAAGGAGGAAACATGCGTGCGCCACAATTGGATGTTTTGTGTAACTTTGTCATAAAAGCCTGGAATGATATTGATGCAGAAACAGTAATCAAGTCTTTCAAGAAGTGTGGCATATCAAATTCTTTGGATGGTATGGAGGACGACTTCTTGTGGCAAGATGAAGGGGAAGCCGAAGCTGAAGCCACACCATCTGATTCGGAATTAGATCCATATGATGACTGTCTTACAAATGTACCACAAGATGTCATTGATGAACTTATGATGTCAGAGGATGAACATGATGAGGATTTTGAAGGATTTTAAGTACCGGTAAGTCAAAACCATTTTAATTAAAATTATTTAAATCAAATCTGATGTTATTAAATGGTGTTGCCTCGGAAGGGGGGGGGTAGTCTTATACGGCGAGTATAGGCCAAAACCTATGTTTTAACTGGAAAATTAGGGGGTCGTCTTATAAGCCCAGTCGCCTTATACGCCAGAAAATACGGTATGTTTATATAAATTCCATTGACCCATTTCTCTAGCCCTGACACCAGCTCTGGCAGAAGATGCTCTTGACAGGTGGCTTCTCTGTCTAGAGCAGTGTTTCTCAAACTTAGGATTCACTGTGCCCATGATTAACGTCTTGTCCTTCCCCCTTTTCTCCTTCCCTCAATTCCTCCTTCTCCCACCCAGGACCTTCACCAAGCTGTGGAACAGTAGCCTGCAGGAGGCACTGAGAGGAGGGAGAAAAGTGGGAATGAGATACACTCAGGGGAGGGGGCAGAGCAAGACAGGGAAGCAGAGGGAGAGGTGTGGAGAGGGATCAGGAAAAGCTGGGGCTTTGGGGTAAGAGTGGAGTGGGGACAGATGTTTGTGGGGAACAGGGTTGAGTGGGAGGGATCTGCAAAAATTTAACATAAAATGGAGGTTCTTAGGTTGCTAAAGTTTGAGAATCACTTGTCTCAAGGGATGCATTTCCTCCTCCTTCCAAAGGTTATTTGCCCCACACATAGACCAGGGAAGGCAACTTATAATGTGCTCTCTCAATGCAGTGAGGTCAAAGCACAGACCTTAAATTAGCTAGCAGAGTTTTGAGGGACAATGTTAATTACCGTTAGCCATATAATATACGCATCTTAACATAAACCAAGTGAAGTAACACGCAAATATTAAGTGGATTTAATTATGTAAGTAAAAGGAGGAAACATTAAATGTAATCTTTTTGCATGTGACAAAGGAATGATTCTGCAATACAGCCATGAAACATAGGTTCTTTTCGTGCCTCTGCCAAGACTTTTTCCTTTGTTTTTGGACAAATCACTACCTCCCTGTGTTTCATTTTGTATCTAACTTGGTGATCATATTTACCTACCTTACAGAGATGTTGTGTTGTGCAGTTAAATGTAAGGCTTGTGAAGCGAAGGGGTGTTAGTGTTGAGTTTCATAAAGCATAAAAAAATATAAATATAGGTTTAAGTTGTTCTACTTGCTGAACTATTATTGTATAATGAAAGGAAGAAAATTTGACAAAAACATGTCTAAAGCATTTCTTTAAAGATAGCTACTAACCAAGTGTATTTTTAAGTATTCATCTTTATATAACCATCATGATTTGTCAAATGTTTTCAAATCTGAAAGACATGTGGGTGGCACATATAACTTTTTTTAAAGGAATTTTTTAATAAAATATGGAACTGTGTTTGTGTTGGATGATCTTTATTTTGTAAGAGTTTAAGGAGAGTAAAAAGAATATGCCAGAAAAATATTAACTCTTCCACAAATATGCAATGGTAGCTAGCTTTTAATCTCTGTAACCAACTGTCCAAAAAAGCCTAAAAGAAATACTTCTTTAACAGCTATTTATGTAAACTGATATTTCAGATTGTTATGACATTCTTTACAAAACAATTCAATGTATATGGATAAAGCAAAGACTCAAGCAAAAGGTCCAAGCCATTTACTGTACAGTCCTCCATTCCTTCCTCAAAACTCAAATTGAAACTTTGACATTTTTTTTTTTTTTACCTTTAATTGCTGGATAGCATACCCATAACATCCAGTGGTTCTCAACCTTTTCAGACTACTGCATCCCATTCATGAATCTGATTTGCCTTGTGTACCCCAAGTTTCACCTCATCTAAAAATTACTTGCTTACAGAATCAGACAAAAATAGGAAAGTATCACTGCATATTATTACTGAAAAATGGCTTATTTTCTCATTTTTACCATATAATTCTAAAATAAATCATTTGGAACACTGTACTTAATTTCAGTATACAGCAAGGATGGGAGGGAGTTCTGACCTGAGGCTAGGAGTTTGGGGTATGGACTCTGGCCAGACAGCGCTTATCTCAGGTGGCTTCCAGTCAACAGTACAGTGGGACTAAGGCAGGCTCCCTGCCTGTCCTGGCTCCATGCCACTCCTCGAAACAGCTGTCATGTCCAGACTCTAGGTGGAAGGGCCAGACCAGGCAGGTTGTGCATGGTGCACTCTGCTCATACCTGCAGTTGCTGCCCTTGCAGCTCCCTCTGGGTACAGTTCGAGCAAGCATCCAGAGCTTCCCTTATTTCCCCTGTGCTTCGGGGCCACAGGAACATGACAGTGCTTCCAGCCCATAGTGCAGATTTGCTGTCAGCTGGATGAAATTAAACAGTAGGCCGGATGCAGTCTGTGGGCCAAGAGCTCCCCTTCCCTGGTGTATAGTCTATTATATATAGCACTATTAAAAAGTGTGTGTGTTTGAAATTTTAGTTTGCATTTATTTCACAAGTACTTTTTATATAGCCTGTTGTATATCCAGATAAATATGAACTGATGTAACCCCTGGAAGACCTCTGTATACCCAAAGGATGTGTGCGCCCCAGGTTGTGATCCCCTGCTCTAGTCTACAGAAAACTACCACGTATTTAAGCATATGCATACCAGTCAACCAAGGAAAATATATTTCATAGATAACCCACAAATAGATTTAATTCAATATGTGAAAGCCAAAGCTTTCAAAATTTACACGGAATAGAAAGTCACAAAAATATCTCATACTTACTCAGAGGACATGCTTGTCATGACTAATGTTCTTGTTGGCTAGAGATTTAAAAAAGGAAGAACAAGAAAACAAAGTCAAAAATATGAAAAACTCTTTTCCCACAGAAACTAAATTCTAAGAGATTCCACTAAAGACACAAAGCAAATCAAGATTAAGACACTAGTATGCAGGCCTGCTGCATTTTGAAGGAAATAAGAGCTCAGAACAGATTACAGATCACATGATACCAGGGACATTGATGTTCAGACATATCACAAGAATTGCACTCAGGCATCAGGAAATGGAACTGCTATTGCCTGCTGTCAGCCCTTTCTCTGAAGCATAAGCAAATTGCTCGAGTTCCCCCATCCAACTATGTTAATCACTTATACGGACAAAAATATGTATTGGGGGAAATGTAGAATCTATTACAAAAGGAGAGAAAGACCTTTGGAAACCCCATCGTGACAACCATTGTTACGAATCAAGAGCAAAAACACCAAGTTAATGCTTGGGCAAGAAAGGTACAAATAAGATGGTTCCGAAATACTAGTTTCTGCTGACAAATACTCCAAATTAGTTTATGAAAACTTAATTTAAATGCTATTGCATAGCTACTGTAATTTGAGATACGCCTTTGAGCTATTAACTAATCATTAAAAGAAAATTAAGTACATTACCAGGCTACATAATATATCCATTCTCTAAGCAAGTCTTTGCTTTTATTTAACAAAGACAACTGTGGCTAAGTACTTATTTATCTTTCTGAAGCTTATACATTGCATATAGGCTCAAATGATGTACCTAAGAAATAGATACATATAAAATAAATTTTCCAAATCCTGAAAGCAAGCAGGTCTGCTTAGCACTATATTATTGCTGTTCGTCCATCGAGATCGATGAGGACCACCCAGTGTCATCAGTTTACTTGGGAGTGGGTTCGGAGATGGCTGATTAGTCCAATCTGAGCCCGAAATTGACGGTTACAGAGGGGACATGGAAGATCGGTCTGCCGACCGGAGGAAGAGAAGATACTAGCCCTGGACTTGCAAAGAAGACATTTCTCTGCAGCATAACGCAGTCTCTTTTGTTCGTGGACTATTGCACCATCATGTATTCGTCTGCGCCAGGCGGAACGATCATCAGCAATACTCTCCCAATTTCCAGGATCTACGTTACAGTTCTTAAGGGAGGCCTTAAGGGTGTCTTTGAATCTCTTCTTTTGACCTCCAAGAGATCGCTTGCCGTGTTGTAATTCGCCATAGAGCATCTTCTTGGGCAATCGATCATCGGACATGCGCACAACATGGCCAGCCCATCTGAGTTGTGCCTTGCAAAGCATGGTGTGGATGCTTGTCATATTAGCCTGTAGAAGAACATCAGTATCTGGAACTTTATGCTGCCATCTTATCTTCAGTAGTTTCCGTAGACAGTTCAGGTGGAAGTGATTCAGCTTTTTCGCATGACGACTATATACAGTCCAGGTCTCACAAGCATAGAGGAGGGTGGGAAAGACGACCGCCGAGTAGACTTTTAGCTTGGTCTCAGTCTTAATGCCTCTTCGATTCCAAACATTAAGTTGAAGCCTTCCAAAAGCTGCACTAGCTCTGGCGATTCTAGTATTCACCTCCTCGATGATGTTGGCTGCCTTCGATAGAGTGCTGCCAAGATATGTAAACCTGTCCATTTTGTCGAGCTTCTGGCCATTGACAGGGATGGATGGCTCAGTGTAATCACAGCCAGGAGTGGGCTGATGCAGAACCTTGGTTTCTCACTATATTATTACATATAGTAATAGTAAAGAATTTAGGAATGGTTTGTTTGAAAATATTTTTATGATTCATACATTTGAAATATTATCCATGCTCTAGGCGTTTTTTACAAATCTATTTGTCCACAAAAGACCCACACAGTCTCTTCTACTGTTTCACCATGCCACAGCCCAAATTTCCTGATTCCTCTCCTCAACTAGCTTCCTTTGAATTCTGTTAACATAGTTGAGAATACCTAAGACCCTGTAAATCACCTTAAAGCTTATAGCACAGGTTCAAGAGGTGACTGAAAGCCTCAGTGCATCTTGATTATTTACGTATCAAAGAATCAGAGAAGGAACAGATCCACAGTATAAATTCCCCTATCAGTGTAGAATTACTCTTCATTATATGGTCAAGTAATTTGTTCAATATAAGGAAAGTTCCTTTGAACTCTATTACTAGACTAATGGCTTTTACTTACTTTTTTTACTGATATTCTTTGATGCAAATGGCTTTAAACAAATAATTTGGCTTCAGATCATACAATAAGTTGTAAATGGTCACATTTCCCCCCTTTGCTTAAATGTTTTGTTGCTATCCTGTGTTCATTGAGTACATTATTTTTTCAAGAAATGAGGACACAGAAGAATGGATACAGAAAAGCCACTAAAAGACATTTTAGATTTTGACATGAACAATAAAAATTAAGGAAATTCAAAATAAGAGAGAATAACCACAGTTTGCCTTTTGGGAAATAAATAAACAACAGAATATAGAAATAGATTTTTTTTTAAATGTATGCATCTGGAGGATGAAGGGGCAATCAGTAGCAGCCAGCATGGATTTACTAAAAACAAATCATGCCAAACTACAGTAAACTTCCAATAATCCGGCACCTTTAGGACTCAGGGGGTGCCAGATTATCAGATATGCCGGACTATTGGAAGGGGGGGCTATGAGGAGTCTGGGGTGAGGTGGGGTGGAGGGGGCGGTGCTGCGGGACCAACCCAGCAGCACCTCAGCTGCTCTGCCCTGGGCATCTCCCAATGAGCCGCTGCTGAAACTGACCAGTGGCTGACTCAGGAAAGCCCAGGACAGCGCAGCTCCAATTGTCCGGCTGCCTGGAGCACTTCCGGGTTCCAGGTGGAGCAGGACTAGCAGGAGTGCCGGATCACTGGATGTCGGACAACTGGAATTTTACTGTAGTTTTATTTCTTTCTTTGACAAGGTAACTGTTGTTGATTTAGAAGAACATGGTCGATATAACATACCTGAGGTTCAGCAAGGCTTTTGAAACAGCCCTAAATCAGCCCAAAGAGGCAATCCAAAGGGGGCTGCCCTTTTGGGGGAGCCCTTCAGGGGCAGACCAAGGGCAAGTGCTGTGATGGTAGATTATAATTGAGTGTGTGTTTGTGTGTGCTGGTAAGAGCAGCACACTTGGTTGTGTGGTGGCCTATTCAGTCCCTGGTGAGAGCAGGGAGGGCGGGTGAGGGTTCTTGGTGAGAGGAAGTTCCCTTTAGCTACCCAAACTGAAAGTGTGTGTTTGTGCTTCCCCCCACCACTATGTGGTTTGGCACAGACGGAGTGCCTAAGGAGGAGGGCTCAGATGGCATCGTGGCAGTTATGACAGGTAGGGGAAGATATGGAAGGATGATCCGGACTGGCCAGCCAAGGGGAATGAGGTTTATACAGTTATGTGTTATTCCTTCTTTCGGTCCTGTTCCCAGCCTTAAAAATTTTTGGGTACTTTAATACCTGGTCATCAGCCCTGAAGGTGCTGTTACTGAATGCCAGGTCAGTAGCCCAGAAGACAGCTGTCATCCACGATTTAATTCTGAGTAAAGGGGCTGACCTGGCTTGTATCACTGACATCTGGCTGAGAGTGGAGGGAGGTGTCGACCTTTCCCAATTGTGCCTGGCTGGGTTCTTAGTACAGCATCAGCCGCGGCTTAATGGTCGGGGACGTGGAGTGGCAATTGTCTCATTGGCTAGGGTTGTGGTCCAACAAAGTGTCAGATTCGAGTGTCTGTACTTGATGTTGGGTATACTGCTTGTGTACCGCCCACCTTGCTATACGGCAGAAGCTCTGCTCGAGCTGGCCAACATGGTGTCGGACGTGGCATTGAGGATGCCGAGGCTTTTGGTCTTGGGGGACTTTAATATCCACGCCAAGGCTGTTCTGTCTGGTCCAGCCCAAGATTTTATGGATACCATGACCACCCAAGGATTATCCTAAGAAATAACTGACCCAACACATGTTGCAGGCCATACACTCGATTTGTTTTTTGGACTAAGGGTGATAGACTTCTTGGGATAAGGGATATGGCTACACTCCCTTTGTCATAGACTGATCACTACCTGGTTAAGTTTAGACTATGTGCTGACCTTCCCCTCCACAGAGGCGCAGGATCAATTAAAATGATCCGCCCTCGGAGGCTGATGGATCCATAGGGTTTTCTGACGCCCCTGAGGGATTGTTCAGCCATTATGGCAAACTCGATTTGTTTTTTGGACTAAGGGTGATAGACTTCTTGGGATAAGGGATATGGCTACACTCCCTTTGTCATAGACTGATCACTACCTGGTTAAGTTTAGACTATGTGCTGACCTTCCCCTCCACAGAGGCGCAGGATCAATTAAAATGATCCGCCCTCGGAGGCTGATGGATCCATAGGGTTTTCTGACGCCCCTGAGGGATTGTTCAGCCATTATGGCAAATGGTCCTGTAGATACCTTAGTTGATACATGGAACACCGAGGTAGCCCGGGCAGTTGATATGATTGCTCCTAAGCGCCCTCTTTGGACCAGTAGAGCTAAGATTGCTCCCTGGTTTTCTGGGGAGCTGATGGCAGCAAAACAGTCTATGTGATGGCTAGAACGCCGCTGAAGGAGAACTAAGGCTGAGTCTGATCGACTGCAGGTTAGAGATGAACTGCGAGCTTACTCTGTGGCGGTGCTGACAGCAAAGAAAAGCTACTTCTCCACCCATATCGTGTCTGCAGAATGCCGTCCAGCAGAATTGTTTCCAGTAGTGCAGGGCTTGTTGCAGTCTGGCACTCATGACGAAATAAGAGAAGTATTTGGTCCCCCGCTGCGATCTGTTTCCAAAGCATTTTTCAAATAAGATCGCCTGCATCCAGTTGGATTTGGACTCTGGTTGCTATGTAAGTGGGGCACAGAATGTGTTGAGTGCACCATCCAGTCTTTTTTCTCTGGATAAATTTCAGCTACTGAAAACTGAGGATATGGACAAGGTACTTGGAGGAGTGCGACCGAACATGTGCTTAATTGATCCCTGCCCGTCA